CCCCAAAACCCCAAAACCCCAAAACCCCTTTTAAGATTCAGTAACTTTAAATTTATTAGAAAAGTCATAAATGGAATCATCTATCCCAATCTAGCAGCAGCACAAAGATATCCTCACTGAAGCTGGAATCGACTTCAATAATATTGAGAAGACCAGAAAGCACCTTCACAAGCATGCAGAAGGAGGATTCAAAGAGTTCAAGACCAAAGAGACGATTCTCAAGTACTTTATAGATATCTCCAAGGAAGATATCAGAGAATATGCTACCACTGGGTTTACCATCGACATCATAGGCACTGCTCCTCCCACTGACGACGGCGAGTGCAATGTCATTGCCCTCAGAGCTGACATGGACGGCCTGCCCATGAAGGAAGAAACTGGAGTTGAGTAAGCTTCAATAACAGAGCATGCCCACATGTGTGGCCATGATGGTCATATAGTAATGCTAATAGCATCAGGGATATACCTGAAGAAGAATCAAGACAAGATTCCATCGAATAAGACCGTGATGCTGTTGTTCCAACCGGATGAGGAAGGACTTGGGGGAGCTGATATTATGGTAAAGGAAGGGTGCCTTGAAGGAGTTGATGAAATCTATGGATATCATCAAGTTCCCCTTGGCCAAGAAAGTACTATATCTATTAAATCTGGTGCTTTGATGGCTGGAAGAGATAATGTATTTATTCAAATTGAAGGTTTAGGAGGTCATGGATCTGGACCCGCTAATGCTATTGATCCTATCACTGCAGCTTGTCACCTCCACAATGCCTTCCACACGATCAAGTCTCGAAACACCTTCAATACGGATGTGGCTGCATTCACGATTTGTGAACTTAATTCAGGAACAACCTTTAATGTTATCCCAAGAACAGCAGAGATGAAAGGAACTATTAGATATTATGACGAAGACGTCAGAAAGAAAATTGTAGAAAGAATCAGAACACTCTCTCAAGAAATCTGTGAAGGCATCAACTGCAAGTCTGAAGCGACCATTGGTCCTAGCTACCCAGAGGTTATCAATAGTGAGAAACAAACTAATATTGTTCTCGAGGCTGCTGGAAAGGAACTAGGAGAATCTTCTATAAATACTAAAGATCATTTGCCTATGTTTGCAAATGAAGATTTCTCATTTTATCTTCAGAATATTCTTGGTGGGTTCATTTTCTATAGCTGTAAACCCAGGAGAAGAGCCAGTGTCTTTACACTCACCTTATGTAGATTTCAACGATAACATAACTGCAGCAGGCATCTACATGAATTTGAAAATCTTGGAGCACAGACTTGGCATATCCTTATTGTAGGTATTCGAATAAACTAAGCCATTATCCAAGTTTGTATCACTAATTCCTCTCCAATATTTCTAAAAGATATCCTATCTTAATAAACCCTAACTAAAATGTAAAAGTCACATTCTCTCTCCTTGTAAGAATCTTTGCGCTAAAGTTTTCAGAGATTTGCCTCCATTTTTAGGATCATGAAGGATTCATTTCTCTACTCTAATGCTCAGTTTCAGCTAATGGAGCATTTTAAATGAACTTTAGACTGCATATCCACTTCTTTTGTACATAAAGACCTTTCTCTTCTGAACACTTGTGTGTGGCCATAATAAAGAACATCTGTTAAGACTGAGATGCTAAATTTGCGTTTGAATTTAGTGATTAAAATGGGAATATAGCACAGGAGTTAAGGAAAGTCATATTTGAGATATGGCTATATTTTCAATTTAGATTTTTAAGAGGGGTTTTGGGGTTTTGGGGTTTTGGGG